GTGTCGTCTCCCCTGTGCTCTGCTGGCATGAGTGGAGGTGTCCGGGGCTCTTCAAGGTCTCAGTCTTCTACATTTACTCAAGCCCATGTTTTTGAGGTTGAGTTTCTCTTTCTTACCCTCAGAATTGCTGCCTGGTGCTACAGTTCCCTTTCTCACCTGAACCCACTGGGAATGTGGGGTACAGCTCACAGTAAATTCTGCTCTGCCAGCTGTGCCTTCTGAATGCATTGGTATCCATGGAAGGGACGTGTAAGTCTTTTGGGCAGAAGTTTTTTCTACCTGGTGTCATATGAAACATCCCCCAAGCAACAGTATCTCTTGACATGACTGCTTAACAATTTCACACCAGATAAGTCTGGATTGCAGCTCAGACTATGTGTTTTGCATATTTTTATAACAAACTCTGTTCATTGGCAGCCTGAGCCCATTGGAAGGTGATTATAGCTAATAGCAAAAAATAATGCTAATTCTTTTTTATTATAATAAGTACCAAAGGAGAAAGTTTACCACTTTTGTCTCCCAACTATAAAAGTAGTTTTAGTAGAAGGCTAAAAATCAGTTTTCTGGGAAATTTATGGATATGGAATTATATGCTTCTCTCAGATTTTGAATAAATGAAAAGTAAAAATATTATTCAGGGGACATGACCTCATGGTAATGTCCTTGAGGGCCAACAGTAATTGAAAAGTACTTAACTAAAGACAAGCTCACTGTCTTCCCCTCTCCTGTCCTCATGCTCTCATGTCCAGGTAAGATACTAAGATACTGGGCCTTCTGGGCAAACATTTGATGATGCACCAGTGCTTAAAATTAATGAAAAAGCCAGGCAAACTTGTAGAAAGAATTTATTAATGTTCAACTTGTGAGGTGTAAAATAGTTCCCTTAGAGCAGAATTCTCTCTCTCTCTTTCTGTGCACACTCCAAGCTGTGTTAGGATTTATTGGACAAAATAATGATTCCTCCCAGCGTCGTGATGGCCTCTGAGTCTTTCCACTGAACCAAGGTCTCCTGGTGAGGTTGGCCAACACCAGGTCTAGGGGCCAGGTGAGGTCCTTGCTCTTGGAAGTCTGCCTTTCTTCTGGCAGTGAAGGTGGCCAGTGGGACCAGGTGAACGTTCTGCTTGTCCCCCGGGGGCACAGGAGGCCAGGCTGAGGTTGCTACAGAGTGTGGGCACTCTCTGTGGCCACAATTCCTACCAAGGGCTCGAGCAGACAGCTGTCACTGGGGAGCTTCTGGCAGTTACAGGGGGGCCAAGTTTCTGTTGCAGAGCTTCAGGTGCATCTGCCCGCTGGGGAAAGAGCAACAGGCACTGTTGTGGGAACTGGGACCTGGGGACTTGTGGGTTCTAATCCAGCCACAAAGCCTGAAATGAAAGTGAATCTAGTACTCTCCACGTGAAAAGAACTTTAGCAGAAAAATGCAGTCTTGTGGGGCTGTTAGGGTCACCTGGTGTATCCTGCCAGCATGTGTTTGGAAGTGGTTCACCCCTTGGTGAGAAAGGCATCCATCCACGGCAGCTCCCCCACTCTGTTTGCTTTCACATGTTCAGGTTCAGCTTCTGGGTATAAAGTAGAAATGATAGTACAGATGTTTACTTGGTGGACAGTACTCTTTGCTGTGAGCACTGTCATATCAGCCAATTATTTGAAAGTGATTTCCCTCGGAACATGCTACAGAATAAGTGTACTGATAACAGCCCTTTTCCATAGTGCGGGTTTACTATAACCTAAGACCTGACTGCTCGTGAATGTTGCTGGTGACTTCCTAGTAGGTGGGGGTTCAATCCAACAGGGATTGAATGTGGTGGCCCCGTGTCTCTCCCATGTCTTCAGGTTCAGCTTTCTGAAGTCCCGGTGCAGTTTCAGAGGAGGGATTTTTTTCATGTACTAAGTAATTATCAAGGGCCTGGCTATGTAAGGGGTGCTCCTGAGAGGCTGCAGGAGAGGGTAGGCTGTGGTTACAGCCCTCAGAATGGTTGTTTTCCAATAAGGGAGAGATGCATGTTCGTGTGACCACAGTGTGGTGCAGGCTGTGTCAGGGCTGTGGTTGTTCAGAGGAATAGAATCCCCCACAGAAGGAATTAGGGAAGACGACAAGTGAAGGAGGTTGAGTAGGAGGTTGGGTCTGAACTCCACCTTGAGGAATGGATAGGAAGTTGGGGGGGAGGGATGGGAATGGAGAGACCATTCCAGGTGGAAAGAAAAGCAAGAGGAGAACAGGGAAAGGATGGGTTGGATTTGGGGATCAGTGAGCTTGCCAGAGCTTGGACTAGAAGGGAAGGAGGCCCGCCCTGGGACCCCTGGCAGCCAGCCCAGGACTGTGGGTGACTCTCACGTGACTGTCTTGTAATGTTGTTTAGTAACCACCGCAGCTCTTTATTTCCCAGGCAAATATAGTGGGGAGAACGTAAGTTCTTTTACAGAGAAACTGAACGTTCTTAGAAAGTTTTCACTGGGTCATTTCCAGTTGTTCTGGGCCCTGGGTCCTCTCTTCATTCCTCTCAGTGGGGAGATGCGGCGACTGTGAGACAGGGAGAGGTCAGGACAGTTTGTCCCCAGTGTAGACAGCTGCCTTGGGACATGCAGATTGTCACCCCTGGTTTGATAGATGGGCTTCAAAGCTAGAGATCAATTAGTCCCACTCCCCCAGTCAGAATAACCTGGACGTGTTTCCGTTATGTGAGGCATACAGTTATGTCCAAATGCTCTACATTATTGATTTGGTTTAATGCTCTTAGACACGCCATCTTGTTTGTTCTGAGGGTTTTATCTGATTGCAAATTCTCAGCTTGAGTTAATATTTCATGAGACTCAATCATAACTTGAGGCTAGGAATATGATGGAAGCCATGGCCTGTTGTTAAAAAAAAAGACAACTGTGCTGCATTCAGGGCCGTTCAGACTGAGAAATGCAAGCGCCGTTTCCTTTCTTTGCCATCCCTATGGGCCATGATGAACTTTAACAAGTTTTCTAATTATTTAGGCTATTGCCCTCCAAAGACCTTATTAATACACTCGTTTGATTGACTTACAAATATTTACAAAGTGTTTATCATATACCATGCACTGATCTAAGCAAGAACTTTACAAATATGAAGACATTTATTCATCCTAAAGCCTGTGAGGTAGATCATATTATTATTACCCCTGTTCTACAGATAGGGCACTCAAGGCACAGAGAAGTGAAGCAACTTGCCCGAGGTCACACAGACAGTACTCACTGCCACTTGAGCGGACCTGTGAATTGGAGGTTGTGTTCGGTGTTGGGTGTCCCCTGTGTCAGAAAGGATACACAGACCTTGCCTGGGAGGACTCTGCCGTGCTGTGCCCTGAATTAAGCTCTTGGGCCATTTTAATACAGGCTTATTTCCTGTAGTTGGTCAGTAGTTGTCTTCCCAGAAACATAGTATTTTAATTGACTGTGTTTGAAAGTGAACAGTTTCTGCGTATGTACAACAAACACATAAGCTACCCCAGAGCCTAGGACTGCATAATTTTGCGCTGCTTATGTGGGAAGAAGTGGCTGCTGGGAGCGGCATTTCCCCAGATGTATGGCAGTGACTGTATTGTTAATAAGTGACATTTTCTATGTGCCCATCACCCTGCGGAGCTAAGCACGTTCCATGACTATTTTGTTTCATCTTCCCAGCGGCTCGGCTCCATAAGGCAGATCCTGTGAATATCTCCTTTCTACAGATGTGGCCGCGGAGGAGGCCTGGAGAGGCAGGGTAATGGAGCACAAGCCACGTAGCTAGGAAGCAGCAGAGCGGGGACTGGAACCCTGGAAGTGTTTCCTGAGCCTCTGTGCACCCTGCCTGCCCCGTGCTCTGGGGCCTCCTGCTGCTCTCTGACCCCCCTGCCGACTGCAGCCTGCTCTCGGGGCTGACCCGCCCTGCTGGCTGCTGCTGACTCTCGCCAAGGATGAACAGCTGATCTGAATAAATTCCTTGCAGTCGTTCTGATTCCTGTCTTTATAGGATCCTGCTACTCGCCTTTGCTGTACAGCAGACATTTGAAGAGTCAGATTTCACCCATGGTTCTTCCATCATAACCTTTGCGCCCAGCCCAAGTTCAGCATTTGCTGAATGCCACTCCGCCCTGCTAGCCGGCAGCAAGAATGCGGCACAGGTGTGGGTGGGGCACACAGACCCTGACCCGATAGACCCTGACACTGAATGTGGGAGCTCTGTGGAGGGGAGTTTATGCTTATGATGTCACATGAGCTGCTCATTAGGCACCTGGAGGAGTCTGTGCTCCTATTTATAATACATTCTCTTACTTTTAGAAAATATTTTTTTTCTGCATCAGGCATGGTTTCCTTACATGGTAGATGCTCAGTAAGCTTTTGGTGAATGTGTGAGTGAATTAGGTAGGACTCACTGAATGACTCTTTTATTGCTTGGTCGCTTTGACGAAGTCGCATCCTATAAGGCCCTGGGATGCCCCTGCTACTCAAGATCGCGTTTCCTCCACCTGGCTCTTCCCTCCTGCGGGCCTGGGACCTCTTCCTGTCCCGTGTGGCCCCTGCTCCCCTCTCCATCTCCACATCAGTCCAGGGTGTGGCTGGACAGGCGGTGACAAGAACTGTTCTTTTAGATGGTGCTCTAGATGGTGTTAGGTTTTGTAGTTTTAGACTAAAACCATACTTTAGGGAAATTAGGAGTTAAATCAGCTTTCCAGGGGCTCTGATCACTATGTAAGACCTTAATGCAGGAACATTCTGAGTCTAAACAGACTTCAGGGCAGCCCGCTGGGAGCCGTGCGTGTTTGAGCGGCTCATATCATACAGGCGCACACAGTGGGGTTGGCTCCACATCCTGACTTGGTGGTTTTGCTGAACCGATGAGTTGAAAATACAGTGTTAAGGGAAACTCAGTTCCTGGTACCAGCGATAGATTCCCAGGGGGCGTTATTTTCCGGTTGGAGCTTGAAATTGGTACATCCTGCCAACATCAGGACAGGCTGCACATTGAGTGGTTTCCTTTTCTGTGTCTCTGACAGATGTGTCGTCCCCGCACCAGCGAGCCTCGGCCAAAATGAAGCCAATAGAAGAAGGGGCAGAAGACGATGAGGTTTTCGAACCTGTGTCTCCAAAAGCATTTCAAGTCCATCAGTTGCCTTGAGTGGAGAGAAGAGTCGTTACCAAGACGAAAGTTGTCTTGAAGACACCCTGAGAAATACCAGCACTTTTTCACCGCTCTTAGATTATTCTGCTCTAGGGCATCCAGACGGGTGCGGTCTGAGGGCAGGAAAGTGAGGGGGAGCCAAAAATGGGAAGGTTATTAGCGCTCCTTTTTATTGGTCAGCTTTTTAAGTGGTTGTTTTCCTGAGCCTTCTGACTAAACTTAGCTCTATTTTGAGATACATATTTTCACAGTATTTTCTAGATACACTGTCATTGCAACTTTAAAAAATCTTAAGCATTCTGTCAATTCAAATGCCTCATCCAAGTTGTGGCTCGTCTTGCTCACAGGCAGTTTTTTCTCCCCATGGCGGTGGCGTTGTCCATTTGATAGCTTTAATGAACCGCGTGAGTTTGAAATTGAGGTTGAAGTAGCATTAACAAGCAGGGAATCTCAGGCTTTGCTCAATTGATTTTTTTAGATGGAAAATTTTAAACAGAGATGTGATTCGACTGGTGTTTATTTTTCTCCCGGGCCAGACACACGACCCCACTAGATCGCCTTACTTACTCAGACCTTGTGTAGATAGCTTGATATTGAACAAAACTCACCGGACTTCGCTCGCATTACCCTTGTATTATGCTGTGTATACACTGGTCTGAAACCTAAAGCTGGAAAGATAACAGGTGGGAGCAGCCCTGAGCTCGGTGTCAGCCTTCAGCCACGCACCTGGGCTTGGAGCCG